CCTGGGGTCAAGCGATCCTCCTGCCTCAGCCTCCCAACTCACTGGGACTAGAGGTGTGCACCACCGTGCCTAGTTAATTTTCTATTTTTTGTAGAGATGGGGGTCTCACTATTGCCCAGGCTGGTCTCAAACTCCTAGCCACAACTGATCCTCCTGCCTTGGCCTCCCAAAGTGCTAGGATTGTAGGCTGAGCCATCGCACCTGGCCCTTAAGGCTATTTTTATTGCCTAACATCTGAAAAGATGTAACATGAGTTGTATATTTAAAAGTATGTAATAATAGCGTCCACTCCTTGGCCTCCCTTGCGGGGTCTGCCTCCTCATCCCTTGTAACCTTGGACCTTTCTTCTGTGCTTGCGCCCTGGCTGGCCTCATGTAGCCTTACGGCTTTACTTGTGCAGAGACCTTTTTCCCGAACTCTCTGGACTTTTCTATTCTAGCTGGCTACCCTTCTTGTCCACCGGGACGTCTGAAAGCCTCCTCAGACTTTGTCCATCCCAGATTGCCCGCTCAGGGCCCACTCTCCCTTCACCTCCCACCTCAGGCAGCGGCAGCTTGGTCAGTTCAGTTGCTCAGGCCACCAGCCTGGGAGGCATCCTGACTTCTGTCTCTCACATCTACGTTGTTTCTACACTCAGAATAGACACTGGAATTGGGCCACTCCTCAGACTTGTACCAGCACCCACCCCACCGTCCACGCCACCATGGTCCTGCACCTAGATTCTCACCAGCCTCCAGGTGGTCTCTCTGCCACCAGACCTGCCCCCTTCAGTCTGTTCTCAACACAGCAGCCAGAGCCCTGAAGCTAAGTTGTAAGTCGAATAGTGTCTCTCCTCTGCTCAGAATCCTTCAGTGGCTCTCTGTCTCCTGAGTAAAAGCCAGAGTCCTTTCAATGACAAAGCTCTACAAGACTGGCCCCTCCCACCAGCCTCTGTCCTGCTCCACCCCTGTGCCCATTCCGGTGGGCTGGGCCTTGCTGCTCTGGTAGCCTTGGACATGCTCCTGCCCCATGGCCTTTGGCTCTTGGTGTTTTCTGCCTGAGACTTACGTAGTTCCCCCAAATGTCAAATGGCTCATTCTCTGACCTCCTTCAGGGCTTGCTCAGAGATCACTCTAGTCAGACCTTCCCCAACCCTGTTTAAAGGTTGCAAACCAGTCCTTGTTTTTTCCTCTAAAGCACATTTACCTTCCAATATACTTTACACAGTTCCTATTTATTTATTGTCTGCTTCTTGCACTGGAATGTAAATTTCATGGGGGCAGGGATTTATGTCAGTTTTTTATGGACATAAATACTTGTTAAATGAAGACATTTGACTACATAGCTGTTAAATTCTTTGTACTACAAAAGACCACATAAACGAAGTTAATTATTTACTATATCTTGTCTTTTACATTTACGGTAAAGGATCACATGGGCAACAAAGTTGACCCTTGAACAACATGGGGGTTAGGGGTACCGACCCCCCCATGTGGCCGAAGTTTTGAGTTTAACTTTTGACTCCCCCAAAATGTAACTACTAATACTGACAGCTTACTGTTGACCAGAAGCCTTGCCAATAACATGAAGCCGATTAAACACACATTTTGTATATGTGTTATATCCTGTATTTTTATAATAAAGTAGACTTCAGAAGAGAAAATGTTATTAAGAAAGTGATAAGGAAGAGAAAATCTACTTACTGTTCATTAAGTGGAAGTGGATCATCATAAAGGTCTTCATCCTTGTTGTCTTCACTTTGAGTTGGCTGAAGAGGAAGAGGAGGGGTTGGTCTTGCTGTCTCATGGGTGGCAGAGACAGAAGAAAATCTTCATGTAAGTGGACTCATGCAGTTCAAACCTGTGTTGTTCAAGGGTCAACTGTATATAAAGAGCTCCTAGTAATTAATAAGCATAAGGCAACCAACCCTATAGAAAATTGGATAAAGGACAGTAGAAATACAGAAATGCCAATAAAGATGAAAAATGATCAGACTCTTTAGTAATCAGGGAAATACAAAATGGAACAGTAAGATATTTTTCATTCATTAGTTTGGCGCAAATTACAAAGATTGATGGCATCTAGTGTGACAAAGGGTGCAGTACAAAAGATGCTCTCATACACTGTTGGTGAAAGTGCACGCTGGTCCAGACTTTTAGGGACATTGATGGCAGTGTATACTCTTCTTTGGTGTTCCATCTACTTACTTGGCTTATAAAATACTTGTAGATATGCACAGAGATATAAATAATAAGGCTATTCAATGTAGCATTGTCATTAGAAAAAGATGGGAAATAATTTAAATACTCATCAAGTCTTTAAAAATAAATCACATAAGATCTTATTAAAGGTCTAAACAAAATTATAGCTACAGTAGTAATCTAGAGAAAGAATCTAGTCCAATTTAACAGTATCCATTCCAAATTTTATGAATTTTTATTATATTATACTTTAGTTTTAAACCAAAAAATGATCATCTGTAAAACCTTACTGAAAATACACTAGCATAGGTAGTATACTCACACTATGAAATATTATGCAGCTTTGAAAAGAATGACCTAGATGTACATGTATATATGGGAAAGATTTCTAAGGTGCCAGTTAAATGAAAAAAGCAAGTTGCAATATATGTATGTTATAATTCCATTTATGGAACACCAAACTCAAATGCTATTTTGTAAGTACATTAATACATTAAAGTATAGAAAAATTTTAACTTTGGGGAGGAAAAGAACCAAACAGTTAACAGGTTTCCTTTGGGTTGAGAAGTAAAGTTGGGCAGAAGGAGATACTCTCTATATCCTCTATATTTGAGTTTTTACGAAGAAAAGTATTCATGATCAATTTTATAATAAAACAAAGTATATTAATTGTTCTCTCCAAATAAGAGTGTTTTAGAAAGTGATAAAAAAATCTAAATTAGAGGTTGCTGAGAAATGATTCTTATATAATCCATGACTTGCAACTTTTTAACATTGGAGATTTCAGATATTTGCAAGTGATCCTAAAGACTAATAATATTTCATAAATAATATTTAATAATCTTTTATTTACCTGAGGCACAAAAATGAATTTGACCTAAGTGAGGTTTTAGGACGAAATTATGAGGCCTGTGGCTGAGACTCTCCCACCATTTATCGTTGAATGTATAGTAGCAGCTTCTCTAAAGCAAACATTGCTTTTAGGTGAAAACAGGGCCTTGAAAACCACGTGCTGGTCCTGGCGATGACCACGCTGAGGTAGGTCTAAGGAAGTGATAGTTCTTAACAAAAAGTGAGATTTTTTGTATTAGAGTCAAATATCACATTCAGTGGAGAGAGAGTGTTCAATATGAAAAATTTATGAAGTTGTTTGTTTTTTTTCCTCCTTGAGACAGGGTTTCGCTATGTTGACCAGACTGGTCTTGAACTCCTAGGCTCAAGGGATCCTCTTGCCTCAGACTCCCGAGTACAGGTGTGGTCCACCACACTTGGCTAAAATTTATGAAGTTTTTTGTGAATGTAACAGCCAGAGCAAAAAAATAGCTTTTTAATAGAATTTATGATCTGTAGTGAAATTTCTCAAATTTGAGGGCTAGAGAAAGTCTTGAAAGATTTCTTTTTTGTATGTTACAAGTCAACTGTAGTTATCTTAGTTTTTCCATAATGAATCCGTTCTTAGATCCAGAAGAAATCTTCAAAGTCCTCTGGTCCATCTTCATTTTATATGATATTTTTGAGCTTTTTAAAAAAATGTTTTACATTGTAAAAGAACAATATATGTTCATTTTGGAAAAGTTGGAAAATACCAAAAGGTATGAAGGAAAAAGAAAATCACCCAGAATCTCACCACATAAAGACAACTAAAACATTAGTGTATGTCCTATTCCTATTAGTGATTTCTATGTACTATAATTTAATTTTGTCTTTATGCATTTGGAACAATATTATATGAACAGTCTCATATCCTTTTCATTTGTAACATTAGTTTTATTTGTTATAACTTTACAAATATATACATTTTGATCACCACATAATGTATTACTGAGTGATCTTACCAAAACTTAACTATTTCCAATCTTTTGATAGGTTCCGGTTTATGTTTTATAAATAGTGGCAGATTTTTATCCCTAGAGATTTTTATCTATTTCAGATTATTGCCTTGTATTTTAGGTTTAGATGTTAAAGTCTCTTGATAAATAATGCCAGAAATTGCTTTTGAAAACCATAACTTTAACCTTTCTTTTTATGACACAGCTCACTGGGTGCAGAACCAGCCGGGGCGGGATCTCCTGACTTCTGAGCCTGTTCTCTCTTTTGTAATCTTCTGCCTTCTTTTGTGGGATTTAAACAAAAGATCAGAATTTTTTTCTTTAATTATAATGCTTCCTGCAAGCCTTTTCTAGCTAATGAGAAATGAAAATCCAAGGCAATAATGTGCAACTGCTCTTCTATTAGCTGTGGACTCTATGGAAAGGTCTAGAGTTTGTGCAGCATCTCAGCTCCTGCCTTCACAGTGAAGTAACACAAAACCACAGAATGCATAAAAATGTTTTTCTCACATAGAAATATTCCTATTTATGACTTTTAAAATTAATGAGTAATATTGTCACATGTGATGGGCAGGGGTGGACTCCCTCAAGGAGGCTTTTCGGGGTGTCCACTCGCCTCCTTTCCCCCACCCACTGTGCGGCCGCGAGCTGGCACTGGCGGTGTGCTCGCCACGTGTGCCTGCGTGTGCGGGCTCTCCCCTCTTGGCCCTGCACATCCCCATCGTCCCAGAAGACCAGCTCCGAGGAGCTTCCAGCATCCTGACCAGGGTCAGTCCCGCCTGCCATTTCCCGCGCTGGCCCGGCCGAGGACTGTGCTTGCTCGTGCCCGTCTTCGTAGCTAGACTCCGGGCAGCTCTCGGACTGGGTCTGTGTCTCATGAATTTCTGTGTCTTCTGCACAACATCTGCCACTGCAGAGATACTTGTTGTTTCTCAGCTCACTGACTTTAGGTGAAAGTGTGGCTTTGATGTTCTCTATGGCTTCGTTTCAGGTCTTTCTGTCTGAGTGGAAGGAACAAAAAGTTGCTCTCTCGCGGCTCACTAGTCTGGAGATGAGGGACGATTTTCTCCACGGACTGCAGATGCTGAAATCTCTACAGAGCAAACACGTTGTCACACTGCTTGGCTACTGTGAGGATGACAACACCATTCTTACCGAATATCACCCCTTGGGCTCCTTGAGCAACCTGGAAGAAACACTGAGCCTTTCCAAGTACCGGCGCGCGAACACATGGCAGCGCCGCCTGCAGCTGGCCGCGAGCTACGTCAGCATCATCGACTACCTGCACCGCAGCCCCCTGGGCACGCTGGTCATGTGCGACTCCAACGACCTGCCCAAGACGCTCTCCCAGTACCTGCTGACCAGCAACTTCAGCATCGTGGCCAATGACCTGGACGCCTTGCCCCTGGTGAGCCGCAGCTCCGGGACGCTGGCGAAGTGCGGCCACCGGGAGCTGCGCGGGGATTTTGTGGCTCCGGAGCAGCTGTGGCCCTTTGGAGAGGACGCGCCTTTTCGCGACGATCTCATGCCCTCATATGATGAGAAGGTCGACATCTGGAAGATCCCAGACGTTTCTGGTTTCCTTCTGGGGCATGTCGAGGGCAGCGATATGGTGCGATTCCATCTGTTTGATATTCATAAGGCGTGTAAGAGCCAGACTCCTGCAGAAAGACCCACTGCTCAGGACGTTCTGGACACTTACCAGAAGGTTTTGAGTTCACTCAGAGATAACGTGATGTCTCAGACGAGAGAAATGCTATAAAAACCAGTCCGGTCACTGAAGGATGGGATTTAAGGACTGAATGGAAGTTCCAGCAGTTCTACTCTGACAGTGGAGTTTTTTGCCTGAGTCTCATGTTTCGCTGTTTTTTTGCCGTTTAGCCATGTGGTTCTTTTTCTACATCCACGTGCACATTTGAGTGTGTTCTGCATATCCTGGCCACCTGGTGGGAAGTTGCTGAGCAAGAACAAACCAGGCCTGATTTAAATCTGGCTTCGCCTTTCTAATGCCAGTTGCTTCCTGGTGAAGATGTGGAGAAGCAGTGAATCTAATCAGTATTCAAGGGAAGTAACAAAAATGTAGCCACAAAAAGGCTTCCCCTGCACTAATAACTTATAAGTTTGCAAGAAACACACAGAGAGAAGGGTTTTAAATGGTAGTATATGAAACAAACATAGAGTAGTTCTTCAAGGAACATTTTTCCTGTAATTTTTAAAATGTATTGTTCTAATCAAATCGATGTACAATAGTAAGTGTTGGTGAGGATTATGGAAAAATTGAAACCCTCATACATTGCTGGTGGGAATGAACAATGGTACAGACACTTTGGAAAACAGTCTGACAGTTCCTCAGAAAGTTAAAAATAGAGTTACCATATGATCCAGCAATTTTACTCCCAAGTATATACCCAAGAGAATTGAAAACATATGCACACACAAAAAATATGTCCATATTATACATGAATGTTCACGGTAGCATTATTCATATTAAGCAAAAGGTAAAAATAATCCAAATTCACTAGCCGATGAATGGATAAATAAAATGTGGTATATCCATACAATGGAATATTATCCACCCATAAAGGGAATGAAGTTCTGACACGTTACAACATCGATGAACCTTGAAAACGTATGTTAAAGAAGCCAGACACAAAAGACTATATATTATACTATTGCATTTATCTGAAGTGTCCAGAATAGATAAGTCCATAGAGATAGATCAGTATTTGCCAGGGTCTGGCAGGGGGTTGGGGTTGAAGGATGGGAATTGACTGCTAATGGATACAGGGTTTCTTCTGCGGTGATGAAAATGTCCTGAAATTATGTAGTGGTGATGGTTGCACAACTCTGAATATACTAAGTACAAATGAATTATAGAAAAGGGAAAATTTTACGGTATGAATTATATCTCAATAAAGCTGTTATTAAAAAAAAATTCTGCCACTAGCCTGTGTGTCCTGTCCCCTGGCACAGGCAGGCATTGTTTGGCGTTGTTGATTTGATACTACTCATGTCGTAATTCTAGTTTGAGTGTTTTTCTTAGCATTTGAATTCTGCACTGGAGCAAAACTGTCAGTTTAAAACTAATTTGTTTTCAAATATTGACAATACATGTAAAATAAACAGCATGGTGCGGGGGAGAAGACACCATATTAGGATCAGAAGACCTGGGTTATAATCCCAGGCTGCTACTGATTAATTCTGTAGCCTAAGACAAACCAATCTCTCAAAGGAGAAAGTTGGCGGGATTAATTTCCAGGTTTTGCTGTGCCTAAGTTCTCTCTCTGAGGCTTTAAGATGCCAATGCCAGCCACCAGACAGGACCTTTGCCTGTCAGGGCTCAATGTGTAGCTTGTGCCTGGACATAATTCAGTACCAACAGAACTGCAGGTCTCATAGAGGAAGTTATATTCTATAATAACTAAAACCTAGGTGAGGAAGTCATTGCCCGCTTAGCTTGCGGTGTCACGTTCAGCAGGAGTGTTATCAGAGGAGACGGAGGTGAGCCAGCCTCAGAGCTGCTGAGAATCCAGGGCTCTCCCTGCTTACCTTGTTCCAAGAGTTAAAAAAATCACCACTGTCTGGTTTATAGCTTTTGCATTTTCTCCTGCGATGCTATAAACACTCGGAGCCTCTGGGAGCCTCTGTGATTGTTAATGATTCAGCAGAGACAGAACACCTGGCAGTTCCTCAAATGAGGCGTGTGTAGGTGGGGTGGAAGGTAACCTCGTGCACTCTCCAGAGAAGGTCCTTTATTGTATTCCCCCCTGTATTTTAAAAATAAACACTGCTCATTTTCAGTAATCACTATTCTCATCTGACTTTTGATCGTGTCAGTAATTTAAAATGCGAAATCATGCTTTTCCATCCCTTTGTAATATTTTGTGAGGACAAACAGAATGAAGGAAATAACTTAGGGTCTTTGGAGATCTGCAGTGTAGTTTGGAAGATTTGTCTGCTTGGGCAAGATTTGTCTACTTGGAATTATCTCCTTTGGAAAGAAAATTAGGTTCATTTACTCCTAATTTCATGGATAGCTTGCATAGCACTTCCTATGAATAAGGTATAATATTCATTTTTACTTCTATTCCTCTGGGTTTATTGCTAAGACAAGTATCTAGTGAGCGTTAAAACATAGCAGGGTGTTTTCCGGTTTCTCTTTGTTCTCTTCTGTCACAAGTGGAAGGAAGGACTGGCTTGTGATATGTAGAGCCCTTTTAGGGTGTCCTTGGGTGCTGGGATTAGTCACCACTGACTGAAGCCCCTTACTCTCAGGGTTCTCAAGGGTGGTCAGACCAGATCTGAGGCTCTTGTTCTAATAAACAGAAGTTCTTGGAGCCAGAAGATCTTGTAGGATGTTTTTTTTTTTTTTTCTTTGAGACAGAGTCTCACTCTGTTGCCCTGGCTAGAGTGCCGTGGCGTCAGCCTAGCTCACAGCAACCTCAAACTCCTGGGCTCAAGCGATCCTCTGCCTCAGCCTCCTGAGTAGCTTGGACTACAGGCATGCGCCACCATGCTCGGCTAATTTTTTCTATATATTTTCAGTTGTCCGATTAATTTCTTTCTATTTTTTAGTAGAGACGGGGTCTCGCTCTTAATCAGGCTGGTGTCGAACTCCTGAGCTCAAGCAATCCTCCCTCCTCGGCCTCCCAGAGTGCTAGGATTTACAGGCGTGAGCCACCACATCCGGCCACAATTTAATGGTTTTTATTATAGTCACATGTATGTGCAACCATCACCACCGTGAATTTTAGAACATTTTTGTCATCTCAAAAAGAAACCCCATTTCCCTTAGCTATTACCCTCATCCTCCTATCCCATGCCCCCAGCCCTAGGCAACCACTAATCTACTTTCTATCTCCATTGATTTTGCTATCCTGGACTTTCATGACTGGCTTCTTTCATTCAGCAATGTTTTCAAGGTTTATCCAAAATTGTAGCATGTGTCAGTACTTCATCCGTTTTTATGGCTGAATAATATTCTACTGCATGGATATACCATATTTTGTTTATCTACTTATCCACTGATGAACACTTGGGTTGTTTCCACTTTGGATTATTGTGAATAATGTTGCTATAGGCATTTGTGTACAAGTTTTTGTGTTTTCATTTCTCTTGTATATACTTAGAAGTGCTGAGTCATATGGCAACTCTGTTAACCATCTGAGGAATGGACAAACTGTTTTCGAAAGTAGCTACACCACTTTACATTCCCATCAGCAGTATACGAGGGTTGTAATTTCTCTACATTATGACTTTTTTTTTTTTTTTTTTGAGACAGAGTCTCACTCTGTTGCCCTGGCTAGAGTGAGTGCCGTGGCGTCATCCTAGCTTACAGCAATCTCAAACTCCTGGGCTCAAGCAATCCTCCTGCCTCAGCCTCCCAAGTAGCTGGGACTACAGGCATGCACTACCATGCCCGACTAATTTTTTCTATATTTTTAGTTGTCTGATTAATTTCTTTCTATTTTTAGTAGAGACGGGGTCTCTCTCTTGCTCAGGCTGGTCTCGAACTCTTGAGCTCAAACAATCCACCCGCCTCGGCCTCCCAGAGTGCTAGGATTACAGGCGTGAGCCACTATTATGACTTTTTGATTATAGTCATCCCAGCAGGTGTGAAGTGGTATCTCATTGCAGTTTTCTTTTTTGAAGGCGAGTGTCTTTTAGTTTTACCTAACTTTTGTTGGGGCTTCTAATACTTGCAATTTGAATGTTCTTAACTGTTAAAATTAGTCTCAGATCCTCCATTTCTTATATGCAGAATAGGAATGACAATAGCTTTCTTACAGGGTATACCCATTTTTATTGTGGTAAAATGTACGTATCACAAAATTTACCATTTTTGCCATATGTACATGTATACATTCATCTGCATACATGTATACATACATACATATTTACATGTATACATGTACACATTCAGTGGCATTAAGTGCATTCACATTGTGCAATCATCATCACCATCCATCTCCAGAACTTTTTTATCTTCTCAACTTAAACTCTGTCCCCGTTAAACACTAACTCCCCTTTCATCTGCCCCAACTGCCTAGCGCCTGGCAACCACTGTGACGCCGCCGTGAATGTGTTACGCAAATGTCAGTTCTGAGTCCCTGCTTTCGATTCTTTCAGGTATGTGCCCCCAAGTGGAATTCGTGAATTATATGGTAATTCTATTTTTAAGTTTTTGAGGAACTGTCAGTAGCTGCACTATTTTACATTCCCCCCAGCAATACACAGAGGTTCCAATTTCTCCACATCCTTGCCAACACTTTTATTTTCTGGTTTTTTGCTAACAGTAATCTTAATGGGTGTGAAGTGGTATCTCGTTGTTTTGATTTGCACTTTCCTAATGATTATTGATGTTGAGCATCTTTTCACGTAATTATCAGTCAGTTATATATCTTCTCTGGAGAAATACCTATTGAAGTCCTTTGCCCATTTTAAAATAAGATTATTGTTGTTGAATTGTAAGAGTTCTTTATATATGCTGGGTATCAATTACTTATCATGTGTGATTTGCAAATATTTTCTCTCATTCCATGGGTGCCTTTTCACTGTTGATAGTGTCCTTTGATGCACAAAAGTTTTTAATTTTGATGAAATCTAGTTTATCTTTTCTTTTGTTGTCTGTACTTTTGGCATCATATTCCAAGAAATCATTGCCAAATCCAATGTCATCAAGTTTTCTTCTATGTTTTAGTCTAAGAGTTTTATAGTTTTATCTCTTATTTAGGTCTTGGATCCATTTTGACTTAATTTTTGTATGCAGTATCAGATGGGGTCCAACTTCATTTTTTTTGCATGTGGATATCCAGTTTTCCCAACATATTGGTTGAAAACACTGTCCTTTCCCCATAATGGGGAAAGGGTCTTGGCAACCTTGTCAGAAACCACTTGGCCATATATGTATTTATTTCTGCACCCTGTATTATATTCCACTGGTCTATGTTTGTTTTTATGCCAGTACCCACTGTTTTATTTTTCTACTATTTTCTTTTATTTGTAGTTGATACATAGTAATTGTACATATTTACGGGATGCAGAGTGATATTTTGGTATGTATATACAATGTGTAGTGATGAAATCAGGGTAATTAGCATCTCCATCACCTCTAACAT